ATACCTGACAAAATTCATAGTATTACTGTGTCTCAGCTGTTCAGTTGGCCTTGGATAAGTGGTCTTTGTGGTCTTGTTACAAAAGATCTCCTAAGATCTCTTCAGGGCAATCAGCAAAAAAAAAAAAAAAAAAAAAAAATTAAAAAAAAAAAAAAAAAAAAAAAAAAAAAAATTTAACTTTGACATAAATTTAAACCCCTAAAAGATTTGGAAGAATTTCCATTTACCTCCATTTACTTTTCATCTGTATTCCCCAAATGTTAATATTTACCGTATTATGTCTGTCCTTCTCTGTGTCTGTGTCTAATTTCCCTTGAATTGTTGGTATATTGTAGACGGGATGATTCTTCATCCCTAAATATTATCTTACATAACTATAAGACAGTGATCAAATTCAGGAAATGAACATGGACACGGTGCTGTTATCTCCTCTCCAGACTTTATGGAGCTTTTTTCATTGACATATTGTGTCTTTATAGCAAAAGGAAATGCTGAATCCTGCCAGTTGTCATATCTTTTCATTCTTCTTTAGCCTGGAAGAGTTGCTGAGTCCTTGTGTTCCATAACACTGATATCTTTGGAAAATGCTGGTCAGCTATTTGGCAGAATGGGGCTCAGTTTGCAGTTATTTAATAATTTCTCACGGTATAATCCAGGTTATGCTTTTCTGGCAGAAACCATAGAAGTGATCTTTTTTTCTCCCCAGTTCATTGTGTCAGGAAGGGTAGGATGTTGTATTGTTTCAGTTTCAGTGATGTTAAATTTGATCACTTGGGTAAGATAAAATCTGCTAGGTTTTTCCACTATAGTGTTACTGTTTTTCTCTTTGGAGTATCTTGTAAGGAGGTATTGGAGGTACTTTCAGACTATGTAAATATAGTGTTAATTCTCAAACTTCCTTTTCCATGATTTTAGTATTCATTTATGATTCTTGTTTGAACTAATACTTGATGGTGGTCAAAGGGTTATTTTCTAAGTGTATTATTTATTTTGCATTTACTAATTGGAGTTCTATAAGGAAAATTTTCCTCCCTGTTCAGTTTATTTATTTATATCATTGTGAATTCTTGATTTTTATTTTTTAAAAGTAGGACTTGTTTATTGCTATGTTGTTATAATACTGGGTACTGAACCCCCAGCCCTTCTTAGTGTTTTTTGTTTTGTTTTACTTTTTTTGCTTTGGTTTTTTTTTTTTTTTCATTAAGTTTATTGGTACTTTTTAGGTATACAATACAGTTACATTAAGCATTGGGACCTTGTACCTTTACGTGATGTATTTTGGGTTTTTGTTTTTTTTGTTGTTGTTGTTGTTTTTGTTTTGGTTTGGTGTTTGGTTTTTTTTGGAGACATCTTAGCTAAGTTGCCCATGCTGAGTTTAAATTTGCAATCTTCCTGCCTCAGCCTACAAAGAGTGCTGAAATTACAAGTGTGTATTATCGTACCCTACTTTATTTTTATGCTGAAATTCTTTAAGATCCAGTTAGTGGGATCCCCTCCAAACTGGCTCTGTTTTCTACTTGACTTGTTCTATTATTTTCATTACCTTTTTATTTTCTGGCATGACAAAATATAAGTTTATCTCAATTTCTCTGCCCCAGCTCTGAAATATGTAGTTTTTCTAAGGAATTCTGGTTCCTGTTAGTGGAAAATGCATTTAAAAACTGCTGTCTGAACACTAGATGAGCTTCTTTTAGGCTTTGTCAGGAGACAGAGCTGGAAAACAGATGGCACACTTGCATCCGTCCATCCATCTATCTATCTATCTATCTATCATCTATCTATCTACCAATAATCAATCCCATGATAGGTTTTGTGGTCTTACTATGTAAGATTTTTCTAATCCAGCACTAGAGAGTTCATTCTATTCTTCTTCTTTCCATAATTATAATCTCAGTCTCAGATAGTGAAAAATCTGACTCTCACAATCCACAATACATTTATTTATGTGCTCAATCTTGAATGTCTAGGAAATGTTTTCAGAATTGTGCTAACCCATACTAATATTAAAGGGAAGCCTGCAAAGTGCAGTTAAATGTTTGCTCAAAATTCTTTTTATCTTTAGTCTGAGATCAAAGCAATCTTCATACAATGTTAAATGCTACTGGGTTAATTTGGTGAGGGGATTATATTATTTGAAATTTTTTAATTGAAATATTGTTCTCCTAACTAGTTTTTAATGTTCTATTTTAAGATTTTTCCCTATCCTTAATGATATTGTTACTTTAGGCAGATGAGATTCACATAATTCTTTTTTTTTGTTGTTGTTGTTCTAGAGATCAAACTTAGGACCTTGTGCGTGTAAGGCAGGCATGGAACCACTGAGCTAAATCCCCAGCCCTAGATTCACATAATTCTAAAAATCAGAACTGTTCAAAAAGTTATGCTTAGAAATGCGTCATTCTCTTTTTTATCACAATTTTTCTATCTTTCCCATCTTATTCTCACTGCTATCCTGTAGGTGACCCATCTCAATAGTTCCTTGTTAATTTAGCTGGTACTTAATTTTGCACAAATAAGAAAATAGATGCCTATTTACTTATTTCTTATAGCAATTTGAGGCAGAAAAGCTACAGATACTATAGATTCCTTTGCACTATCAAATAACATTTTAAAGTATACAAGGCTTGTGCTTAGTTCATTCTTGCATTTTTAAAGCCATTTTCTATATATTCCTGACCCCCCCTTTTGGGATTCCAGATTTATTTAGGCAAAACTGTATAAAAAATGAGACAGGTGTTGATTTTAAAAAGAGGTCTTTCTTTGTCCTCTCTTAGACAAGAATTATTAACCAAGAATTTAGAAACAGCCACAAGCCCAGCATAGATAGAAACCACCCAAGCCCAAGCTTGTTTAAGGAGCAGTTCGTCTCTCAGCCAGAAGTCCTTTCCTGTTAATAGGGCTGAACACTCAGAAATAAAATAACCAGGGCCTGAAACAAGCAACTTCTGGGAATTTTGTAAGTTTTCAGATTTAAAAGAAATATCAGGCAGTCTTTCTATACAAGGCTTCCATTGTAAATTGAATATAACTTTGCTTGTCTTGCATCCAGCTTAGTCCTCCAGGGAAAGGTCCCTCCCAGAAGGAAGGCCTTGGGGACCTGTGTTTTTCCTGGCAGGTGACAGGAAACACCTGCTTTGAGTGTCATCTGCAGGCTGCATATCACACTGCTGTATTTTCTCAGCTTGCATATGCTAGATTTAGAAGGAAGGGAAGGGTGGGAAGAGAAAGGAAGAAGCAATTTCACACTAATTCATTTATTTTTATTTCTCTCAGGAATCCATAAACATTGGGAAGGACTTGAGTAGAATTTATTTCAGTTCACTTAGGAGTTCACAGGTGTCTTCTAATTACTAGCATAATCAAGATTTCCTGTATCTAGCTAAGATGAACCCACAAAGAACCCAATGGAGGCAATTAACCACCTCCCACCCTACCATCTGAGCTTTGTCTAAATTCATGACTTGACTAATAATTTTTGGGAAAGATGTACAACTATTCTCTGACAAGAGAAACCATGTCCTGCTCACATAACAGTATAACTGTCTGCCCAAAGTTTTGGCTGTAGAGAATCTGCTGTTCAGACTACTGAGGAAGCCAGAAGGGGCTGGGAAGTGCCCAGACCTCCTTGTGGTCATTATCAGGGATTCATTCCCAGAGACTTCAGCAGACCTGGGATGTCCCTTTCCTGGAAATTTCAGATCCCCCCAGAGCATCAGAGACCATAAAAGATGCAGCCAATGGATTATGAGTCTTGAAGGTCTCCCATGAACCTGAGCATTCTAGGCCTCGTCTACTTTGCAGAACTCATTTGAGTTACAATCCCACCATAAATAAGAAAGTGTTTTTCATAGGAGCTCAACCCAGCAGCATAAATGGATGTTCTGCTCCCATGCCAGTGATGACAACTATAAGCAGCTATTGCCTTTGGGAGAGCCTTGTTTCCCTAACTGCTGCTCTAGAGGGGGCAGGATATAGTACCGAAAGTGCTGAATTTAGAATTATAGCCTCTTCAGCAAATCTGGTCTCTGCTACTCTATATGATTGGGGCGAGTTCATAAAGGTGACAACCTCAGTGAGCTCATCTGGAAAAAGGGGGACATGATCTACCTTCCAAGATTTTGACAAGCATTGAGAAAAAGAACATGACTAATGGCTGTGGCAGGAAATAGACTCTTCTTTAAAAATATTTGCTATCCAAACAGTGGAGTTGGGAAGGAGGAGACTTAGGCAGCAGTCTTCACCTCCCCAGGAATTCATCAAACACCTACTTTGTGTCTAGCTTAGAAAATATGTAGGACAGGCTTGCTTCCCACTGGTGTCACTCCACATTTAAGGAAGGGAAAAATGCAATACTTAAGAAAAATAAATTCAGTGTGACCTGGGATTTTCAGAGACATCTTTGTGGAGAAAAAAAAATGTAAAACCTAGACTTTGAAGGGAGACTAAGATCTGAAATGGCCAAGAGAGAAAGACAAGTCATGGCAGACATTTGCAATCATCTTTTAGTTGAACCAGAAGAACATAGCCTTGGAATTGTCTTTACATTATAGAATTAAATGTTTCTCAGGGGTATCCTTTGATTACACTTTAAATTTGTATTTGAAGATATCGGAGGTGAATGGGGGAGATGGCAGAGGGCCATCCTGTGCTTTGCCCAGAGTGATTCTTGATATGGGAACTGAATTCGGTAGTGAAGAGTGTACAATAGCTCCACATACCCTCCTTGGATGTAGGGAAACACCTAGCATGGATGACATGGAAAAGATGTGGTGAGGTTGAGAGAAACTCATGGGTAATAAGCACCTAAGGACTCTGCTGGGTTCCCTAGGATGGCCTTCTGCCAATGACATTATTATTTTACTGGTAAGCAAGGTGAAGTCTTAGTAGCTCAGTTAAGAATCTCATGGTAAGGATTTCAATACATTGTAGATAAAATAAGGTCATTCAAGGGAGAAAAATAACTTCAGGGGGTTTTGTTGGGGGTATGATTTGGTCTACAGGAGTGTCCCTGGAAGACATTCTGAAGCTCTTTGGAGAATATTTCTTTAAATTCTGTAAGATGTCTGGCTACGACAGGATGTTGCGGACACTGGGAGGGAATCTCACGGAGTTTATTGAAAACCTAGATGCTCTCCACAGTTACCTCACCCTGTCTTATCAGGTAAGGCTGTCAGAGCTGGTTTTGATAGTCCAGAGAGGAAGCAAATGCTCAGTGGTTTTGGGTGACCTCCCTCCCCTTTAAGAGGAGCAGGTACAAAGAAACTGCTTCCTCTCTTTTATGCTCCAGAATCCTTGGTCCCTGGACTCAGTGGCCCCGGAGTTATCTTGGGAAAGCAAAAGAAATATCTGCTGACCACTTTTATAAACTGGCTGACAAAAAAATATCAAAGAAAGTTTCAGCTTTGTGATGAGAAATGGACTCTTCAATAGGGCCAGTGTGGGCTTGAAATGAAATCTAGGAGGCTAATCACAATGGGTACAAAGTCTGGAAAACAGCCAGGTTTCAGTAGATTTGTGAAATCTCTCCTAAGGTTTCCTGGCCTGGATGGAGCTGATAAACAGCTTATGCAGCCAGATTTATGTTATCCAAGTATCAGAAGGAAAGACTTGACAAGGCTGAAAGCCAGAATCGGAAACCATCCAACTCTGATTAACCCACAGGGTGATTGACTGAGGTGTTAAGAAACTAATTTCCCTGCTGGGATATGTCCTTCTGGAGTTCATGCCTTAGTTTTCTTCTTTGTAGAGTCATTGGAAATTCAGATATTGAGACTCTCTTATAGATAAGAAAATGCTTTATTAAAAGACAAAGCATTTACACATCATAGTAATAGTTTATTATTTTTTGTAAGATAGTTTATATTTACTTTTAGGGCCCTTTATAGCTTCAGTGTTTCTATTTTCATGTTCATAATCACCTTTGCAGGGTTGTTATGCGGGTAATGTAGGATTATTTATGTTAATGTGCCTCATTATCTATTATGCACTCTTATAATATGGGAAAGCTCATATTTTGCATCAGGAATCTGAGTTTTGAAAATCTTAATAGACTTTAAATAGAATGAGTTCTTGGGCCTGTTCTGTTATTGTCATGTGAACTTCTTAAGGCTATGAGTGGGAATACTCCTGGCTGTGGGGTCTGATGGGCTTCCACCACTGTCTGACTCTCTCTGCAACTTACAGGCCATGTAATCCTGGACAATCTTCTTGTCCCTTCTGAACCTCAGATTTTTACCCTTACTTATTTAATAGATATTATCAAATGCCTTTTAAAAGCATTGGACACAGGGGCTAAAAGGAATAATAAGAACAAAATAACTTACCTACTTCATGGCGATGTGTGGATTGAAGATAACATATTAATGTCCTTGGCACTGTAACAGGAATTTCTATAAATACTAACTCTTTCCTTTTCCTTGTTTCTCTGTTCCCTAAGGCAAATTTTAAAATTACAAGAATTTGCGTGGCAACCTCTTGTCAAGTTTCTTGCTAAAAAACACAGTTAGAATATAAAGAAATATATTTAGTTCCTTCAACAAATTTCCATTATATTTTAAAATATCAAATTCTTCACCTGAAATTTGGTTAATATATTGGTTCATAATTTTGGATAAAGTATTAATAGTCTTCCATTCATTCATTAAGTAAAAGGCTTTATAGAAGGTAATATTTTGGATATTGTTATCATATTACTATTACCTTGTGAACAGGAGAAAAAATAAAGTTTCTGAAATGCCAAGTCTACTATTTTTATACCCAGTCCTGCTACCCTTCTTCTGATAGTCACTCCCCATATGCCAAAGCCGAATTGTTAGAGAAGCAGTAAAATAGAATCTGTCTGGAGATCTGTGAGGACATTTTGCATATAAGAAGATAGATAAAATATTTAAATGTTATAGAAGTTGGGATAAAATCTGTGTAATAATACCTGATTTCTATATCAAGTACTTTATACTAGACAAAATATTATAGATTGTTTCTTTAGGTAAAAATAAAATAAAGCATGCACTCTTGGTTCTAATTATGCTTTTAATCTTATATTTAGGCTAACTTTTATTAACTGCTATTATGAGGAGAAATGTTATGCTGAGTGATTTATGAATGTTGATGTATCCTCTTTACATCCCTAAGATTAGGGTGTCTTATTTTCCCTTCTATACATATAGAAAATTGAGGTCCAGAAAGGTCGAATAACTGTTGTAAATCACTCACAGTGTGGTGGCTGAGGGAGAGCCTAAATCCAAGAGTGTCTGTCTCCAAAGACTAGGCTTTGGGATGCTTGTTATCATTTTTCCTTTTCTCTCACTCTTCACTTTTAAAAAAATCCCCACTTCAATCAAGAAATTAGAGTATAATTGTATTTTTGAGAGACTGGCAGACTGAAAGCAAGACGTTCCAGGAGTATCTTTGAGAAGAGACTGGAATGGGGCTGGAGCATGAGTGGGGATGAGCCAAAGTGCAGGGATCTTCATTTCTGCCTCTGTACTCTCTTATTTCATTCTCACTATGGAGCCTTCGGATAAATTTTTCAAATTAACTTTTACTTCCCCCTTTTTCCATATGATTTGTATACTTGCTTCTTCAAATCTCCTTTACATTTATTTAAGATATGAACATACATCCATACAAACATGTATATTTTTGTCTGCATACATACTTTTGGATAATAACATAAATGTTAGGGGAAAAGAAGGAAATTCATTACAACTACCCATTCTCCACCATGGAAAAGGACAGGATGCTACCTCCTTAAACTTTTCTCTCACTCAAACTGAAAACCATGTCTATAGTATGCCGAACTGCCCATGAATCAAGCAGAAGAGAACGCTGCTTCTCTCAGAGAATCTCCCAATCAAAGGCTTTTTCCTTTCCTAACCTAAAACGTATCGATGGCAAGATAGGACATATGTGAAAGTCAACACTTATTCCTAGAGAAAGATTTCTTCTGATTTGCCCTTGGGGAAAATTTTTCTTTTCCAAATGTGTAACTTGGTACACAGATAATAGTATAATCTTTCCAGAACAAGGAATTTATCAATTCATTCCATTTGCAAATTTTTCTGACCTGGGGATATTCCTGCAAGTGGAGATGCCCATGGTCATTTGGTCATAGGCCAAGCATTGCAGAAACTCACCATGACTTCCTCCTACTTGCACTCCACTTAAGAGTGTGGGTGGAAGTAGCATGGCACAGTGCAAAGGCTCATTCAGAGGTCAGCCATTGTTCTACCATTAATCTAGCTTTAATTTCCCTGAGCCTCAGTCTCTCCCTCTTTAAAATATGAATAATACTTGCCATATGGAGGTATTTGGGGAATTAGTACACAGTAGTAGAAGCTGAAACCAGGGTAAGTGCTGTGTGACTGAAGACAGTTTTGAGCTGAAGTGCTATTACTATAATGCATAAGTGCTATTGTTTCACAAGGTCTTAAATTTAAGCAATTTGAATTCACTGGGAACACCACTGTGTTTTTAGGAGATGAATGCACCATCATTTCGGGTGGAAAAGGGAAAAGATGGGGAAATGCTTCTCCATTACTACTCAGATAGAAGTGGTCTATGCCACATCGTACCAGGTATGTAATGCCTTCAGAGTCCCAGATCTTTGAGGCCTCTGGAGTGAGAAAGGTTTCCAACAATTCTCTGGGATGGCGAAGGGCTGGCAGTGGGTATGGAACTCTTATGCATAATATCTAAGTCCTTACTATCTTCATCATGACGCTCAAAGTCTTTGAGCTTTCAAAATGCCAAAAGAAGGAATAACTTTTAATTTTCTTTTAGCATTTTTAATTATGCAGGTGTTTACATAGTCATGATAATTCTACAAATATTATTTTGGATATTTTTTGTATTTAGCATTAGAAAAGCATGCTTTAATGTTTTCAGTCTTTAAAATCATGTCTTAAATGAATGCATGATATTTCATATTGTAAGTATCTTAATTATTTCCCTATTTTACATTTTTAATTGATATTAATCTTGTGCTATTGTAAGCAATACTGGGTTGAACATCTTCATACTTTTTTCTCTATATTTTATATTTTAATCCTAGGATAAAATTTCCAGAGGAACATGGAAACATGATCCTTAATGATTTTACAACTGAATCTTGCTTACATTGTTTCCAGTTGGCCTGTTTAACAAGTTAAATGCCTTCCAAAAAAACAATAACAACAGGTGCTGAACTAAAAACTAGAACGTCTGGGATAAATCTGGTATCCACACATGTTTAACTTAAATTTCTACATATTTTTACTTTATCAATCTATTGTATGATGCCTTTAGGCAAGGTCTGACCTTGCAAAACCCTGGAAAGTCTATCAGAAATATTGAATTGAATTTTTAATGATTTTTTGGACACACTTTTGCTATACCTTATCATAGGTATAATTCTGCTGCAGGTATCATTGAAGCTGTAGCTAAGGACTTCTTCAACATTGATGTAACCATGAATATCCACGACATGAATGAAGAAGTGGAGAGGACAGGGAAAAAAGAGCATGTTGTGTTTCTGATTGTACAGAAGACTTGCAGGAGGATGAGAAGTGCATATCCAATCAGGTTACGAGATAGCGAGGACATCGAGAGAGACCACAAGGTACTGTGTTTGCTATATCTTCAGAAAGCACAGTTTCCCGGGGCAGAGCTACCAGTCTTGGAACAATCTATGTAAACAAAACAATAATCTGGACCTCCTACTAGTGGAATTAAGACAGTATTTTTTTAAATCTTGGGATTACCGACCTTTTGGATAATTTTTTGTTGTGACGGACTGTCTTTTGTATTACAAGATGTTTAGCATCATCTTAAGTCTCTGGGTTCTAGTAGAACCCTGTCTCCTCAGTATGCAACAAAAAACATTTCCTGGAATTGCCAGTGTCCCAGGTAGGAGACAAAATTATACCTAGTTGAGAACTAGTGGGTCGGTGTTCACTGGTCACACTCTGGAGACTTTCTGAGACATACCTTAGCCTGAAGAAATATTCACTTATAAAATCACCAGTATAAAGAGTTTGAAACTTGAATCTGATGCCTTACTTCACATTTTTCCTGAAATAAATTGGCCTGTTAGATCCCCAGTGCCCAAGTTGCAGCTGGAGCCAGTCACAGATCCAGAGTCCAAGATCCTATGCTTTGCTATCTCAGTGGCAGAGTAACAGGATGACTGCAGCCCTTAGCTCCAGTTTAGATGCCACACGTCAGGAGAAGAGCTATCTGTGCCACATAGCCTATAAAATATCCAGCTATACCTGTGATTCCTGGGGCACAGGATATGTGTGACCTGGAGCATGAAGAACCCATCTCAGGGTTGAGTCATTGCTGCATCTTCAGTCACAGAAAAAGATGTACATGTGTAGGTTTCCAACCAGATACAGCTCTATCCAGTGGTAAAGAACCTATGGCATGTGTGCTTCAGGAGGCTGTTATCATTAAAAGCTCTAAAAGGCTCACCTTCACTGCCTAGACCATGCTTGAGATTTTATAAAATGTTCTTGCTCCTTTGGTAGAGAGTCAACATGAAGACTACTTAGACAAAACATCTTGGGAGCTCCAGATTCTTGGTCTCTCTGCTCATGACACAATTCCACCTGGAAAGACAGCCTAATTGCAGCAGATAGAGTTGGTGCCTCTGCAGTCACGTGACCAGGTGCCCTTGCTTCTCTCCTCGCCATTTGCAGGCTCTCAAGGCAGCTTTCCTTAGGATGAAGAAGGACTATTTGGAGGCCTCCATTTGTCCTGGGAAGAAATCCCACTGGGATGCTGTAAGGGGCATAGTCACACTTGGAAAAGGTAGGTGGGCTGTTTTCCCAGTCTCTTAGTTCAGAAAGACTGCATGGGTTCTCAGCGGGAGTAGCCTCAGGAGGCAAAACTGGCAAAGCTCACTATGTTTCTGATGCCCTGCTTTCTTCAGAGCCTGGTTTTTAGATTTAAAATGTTAGATTCTAACTTTTATTCTGTGGGCCCTTGTGTTTGTATGAGGAACATGGAGACACTCTCTCCTGTCTCAGAGAATGTCACCAGAAAGGACTAGGATCAGTTCTAATTAGGGACTGAGGAAGACAAGGAGGATGGATACTGATGTATTAATTATCAAGGATTAGGAATTTTCCATAGCTCATCTTCTGGATGCAAGCTTTCTCAATTGGAAAGCATTTCTGGACTATAAAGCTGTGGATAAAAACCATAGTTGTCCAATCGTGCAAAAAAAAAAAAAAAAAAAAAAAAAGGGAACAAAAGATATCTATTGCCAGCTGGACACGGGAAAGGAAATTAGATAGTGCACTTCTGAGGCAATCAGTACACAAGATCCCAGACTGGAACACAGCTCCTGCTCAGTCTGAGTTTGCATTCACATGGAGATTCCTGAACACAGCTTGTGACCTATTCCTTCTCTGAAAAGCTCTGGCAGCACCTCCACCGCAGTCCCAAGGACTCATCAAA